TGGGGAAGAGCACTTTCTGTGGGGCTGGGACTCCATCACTACCACATGGGCGCTCACTCCCTAAAGAAAAAAGGAACAAGGGAAGAAAAGGAGACAAATAAGTCTACACAGGCAGACCCCAAAAGAACCCTAGCCATTTTCTTAGCAYGTGGTTGGTCAGAACAGCTCACTGGAGGGCACTAGTACTCCCAGGACTGGACACCCCAGGGAGCCAGCTCAGAGTGAGCAGTCACAGTAGGGGCTTCCCAGACTGCTCAGTTCTAGAACTCAGACCCCTGTGGAGATGAAGGATCTGGGCCTTGGCACGGGGCCCAGCTATGGCCMCATGCAGTCTACCTCATTTCTCTACCTCCAAGCTTGGCTTTCAATTCTATTAAACCCAGGGCAAGAGATCACTGGAGGTGGCGGGGTGGGGGAAAGGGGGAGTTTGTTATGAAGAACCCCTAAGTACACACCATCTTCCTAGAAACATCTACAACTGATGCCCATGGACCCCACGTGAAGTCCAGCACTCCCTGTGACATTCTAGTGYCCACAGTGGGCCCATCACTCAGCCAACACCGAGAGAGGCCTCCCTGCCTGTGCCCTGCATGTCCATACCCTGTCTCCTGGCCTGAGCYTCATCTCCACTCCTGGGGCGACTGGCACCCTCCGTCTTGGGGTTTAGCAGCAGATATTTGCTCTTCAAGGACTCTAGCTGGTAGGAGAAGCTCTTGCTGGCTGGCTCGAACTCGATCTTCTGTAAAAGGACCTTCTTGGCGGAGGAGGCCAGGAGTTTTCCCAGTTCCCCATCCTCAGCCGAGTCCTTGCGACCGGGTTTCAGGGCTTCCTTCAACTTATCGACTATTGGCATGGTGCATTCCTGTGGGGACTAGAAGGAACACAAATCTACAATCACTATGTCCAAGGAATAAGAGCTTCCGCTTGGTCATCATGGAATCTAGCCATCCCAAAAGCTTCCCTGGTCAGCTACCATCCTACAAGGAAGCATGAGACAGGAAGACACAGACCCATGAGAGTCCGTACTTCACTTCTCAAGATACATGTACAGCCAGGCAAGGTGGCAAGCGCCTATAATCCCAGTGGCTGGGGATTACAAATTCAAGGCCAGCCTCACCAACTCRGCAAGCCCTGAGCAACTCGGTGAGACCTTGTCTCAAAGTAAAAAATAAAAGAGCTGGGGATGTGGCTCAATGGTTAAGCACCCCTGGGTTCAATCCCTGGTACCAAAAATTCAAGACAAGTGCACAAAGAGCTGAGAATGCCCAGCGATAGCATCTGGGCTGCTAGGCCACCCTGCCTCGAGCCCTCAATCAATATACACCAAGTGTCTACAAGTCAGGCTATTTCCTTCAAAGGGACAACACAGGGCCCCAATGTCTGCTCAAAAGCAGGGAAACACTTATTTGCATACATGCTCTGGTTACTTACACACATATAGCCTGTAATAAAGGAACAGCACACAAGGGGATGGGCACATGTCTGTAGACCTATGCTCTTCAGAAGAAGGCTGTGGACCACGAGTCTCCTGAGCATGGGAAATGAGGCTAGTCCCCAGCAGAAAACACGCCACCAGACTTAAAGGCTTAGTTAGGAATGCAAAACATCTCAAAAACTGGTTACATGTCAAAATGATAATATTTTGTATATATTGGGTTTAAAAAAATGAAAATTAACTTCACCTCCCTTTTTTACTTTTCCAATGTGGCTGCAGTAAAACTTAACTTTACATTTGTGGCTCTCATCATATTTCTATCATTGTATGTACAAATCATCTAAAACTAAGGGAAGAAAAACAAAAAGGAAACAAAGTAATTTTTTTAAAAATGAAGGAGAAGTGAGAAAAGAACAAAGGATCAGACTTGGAATAGCATGTACAAGACACCTAATGTTAGACAAAGTTTCTCCCACCTCTTTCAAATAGCMAGGAAGGAGAAGTAGGCAGGCGGGGACACAGGTTTTAAAGGTAGCCAGTCTGGGTCACTGTCATCTTTAACTACCCATCCAGGGACGAGTACTTTTTACAAGATCTCCTGTTCTTGGATTGTAAAATACAGACAAAAATAGGTGGGAAGCTGGCTGCAGGGACTAGAGAGCCGGCTCATACACTGGGCCTGCCACCGCTGGCAGGTGCAGACTCTTGCAAGGAGGGAAATCCCTCCCTCACCTCAGCCAGCTCCACCCACCTCAGCCAGCTCCACCCACATCACCCTGCTCCCCGCCCCCGTCCTAGCCAAAGCTTAGACTGAGTCAGAAAAACTTGTCCCTGAAACTGCTCACTCCCTCCAAACAAATGAGGGTTCCCAGGTACTAGGAGTGCCTAGGGAATTAGCTAGTTACACCCCAAAGTCCAACCTAGTGAATCCATGGATCTCTAATTAAGTCTTTCAAATCTCTTACYGTGGGCCCCCTAATTCCATACAAGAAGAGAAATCCAAGGAAGTTATTCTTTAAAAAAGAAAGCACGGCGCTCTGGTGTCCTCACCAGAAACTGTTGAGTGGGGATTATCTGAGACTTCTTGCCAAAGCAACCAAYTCAGCTGGGCGCACTCAGCAAACAGGCAAGAAAGAGGCACCCAAACCTTTGCAGTCTCACCTGGGATGCCTGGCCGAGGTGGGCTGCTCCCCCAACAGCGGGGAATCAAGTTCTCTGACTGGGCACTTCAATCCAGGGACTCCCAGAGGATGGCCTGTTCAGTCGCCAATGCGGCCACATGCAGAGTCCAGAAAGGGTGTCAGCACCTGGCCCCCAGCGGCCCGCGGCAGGCCCGCGCAGCGCTGGCGTCTCCTCGGCCCNTGTTGAGTGGGGATTATCTGAGACTTCTTGCCAAAGCAACCAACTCAGCTGGGCGCACTCAGCAAACAGGCAAGAAAGAGGCACCCAAACCTTTGCAGTCTCACCTGGGATGCCTGGCCGAGGTGGGCTGCTCCCCCAACAGCGGGGAATCAAGTTCTCTGACTGGGCACTTCAATCCAGGGACTCCCAGAGGATGGCCTGTTCAGTCGCCAATGCGGCCACATGCAGAGTCCAGAAAGGGTGTCAGCACCTGTGGGCAAGCAGTGAGACCATGACCCAGGATGACTCTTCCYTGCTGTCTCTTCAGTCTTTCCATGAGTGCTGTGTGGGAATTGCGACCTTTTACCAGGACAAAGTCATCATTAAGGTTAAAGGGATATCTCTGTGGCTAAGCTCAGGATACGTCCAGAGAACTGTGCTAACCAACCACAAATTATTGCAATGTACACACAAGGATGACACTGTTACCTGCTCCACATCTTTACCCTGACACTCTCCACACCTGCCAGTCCACTAAAGTTTAAATCTTATCTCCAAAGAGTAACGGGTAATAATAAAGTTGTCAAACTTTTACTTTGCTAGGTATAGACTTTAACTTCTACCTATAGTTAATTAATATATAATTAAGGTGCTCAGAAATGTTTACAGCAAAAATTCAAACATACAAAGTATACAGGGAACATGGCCCCAGTGCTCAGCTTCAGTAGCTGCCTGACCAATCCTGATTAGCTCCCCCCAGCCCAGGCTGCTGTGCAGCAAATCTCATACCTTCCATCCCATCCTTAAATAAAACCCTATCAACATCCCCCACCMAAAAACCCCATAATGGAATGAACTCAGAATAAGGGACAATCTGCAAAGCGATGACATCCATTCCTCCAAAACCCTCCCCGAAACGTCACTGGGATTTTTTTGGGTCATGATTTCACACCTTACCATGGCCAGATGAGAATCCTGTCCTGGACCAATATGGGTCCACTAGCTCACGTTCAGAAGCTACTTAGCTAGAGGATTAAGCAAACACTCAGGAAATTTAATCAAATTCCATCATGGATAACAAACTACTCTAATGCAGAGTCGAATATTTTCAACAATTTTTCAAGTTGTGGCAGAAAGATCAATATCTCCAACTCSACCTGAAACATTAAGTAATGACCTAAAAGCTGCTCACTCTCTGAGGTGTAGGAACCAAGAAAAATATTCTTGCAATCACCAGCCAGCCTCTGGTGTGCATCCTTCTTAGCACAGACGCTCTCTGCAGTCCAGACTTCTTGCAGTCCAAGAACAGCTTACAGCTTAGACACACATTTCTGCTTCTGAGATGACTCAAGTGCAGCCTCCTTGTAACAAAGCCTCTTAAATACATTCTCTCCCTYCCTCTTCCCTTTAAATTCACTTCCAAGATAAACTGCACTCAAGATTCACAAGACCAGCCCAAGACAAGAGGGCTGGGGCCTCCTTGGGGCCCCTTAGAGGGGCCTGCCAGACACCCCATGCATCCTGGGCAATGTCTCCTTGGAGCCTGCTTCTTGGCATCCACTGCAGAAACAGGACTATGTGTGCAGTGGGGTACTCTTCCCTCTCCTGTCTGTTTTAGGATAGTACTCTGGTACTAAGGGCTCTAGGGAGCATGTCATACAACCAACCCATCATAAGCAACTGGCACTTTAAAACCCACATCTCCTGCCAGTTCTCATCACCGCGCTCTTCCATGGTGACCATGAGGAAGGTTACTTCTCCGTATCTCAYGTCTCTGCTCCACACACAAAACGCTCTCAACCCACTTTGACCTAGCCTGGTCCCTGGATAAAGGATACTTTTGTGGGTAAAGGCTGCCCAACTGGACACAGTCTGTTACTTTCTCCCCTGCCCTTGGCTCCTACCTGGGTCCAGTTGTGCCCTCCATCCCTGCAGGGTCACAGCAAATCCGTGCTTGGACTGCACAATCCAGGACCCAAGACTTTTCTGAAGACACCACCGACCCCTGATGACACAGCTCTCCCCGGGCCGACGCCAATCCCTGCATGACCAGGGCCTCACACCTCTTCACTGAGGCTCGGCCTTGGGCCCTCCCTGAGGTTCTTCTGAAGTCCCTCCGGAACAGTGTATCCCCTGCCCCCGTGCTCCCTGGGTCATCCCAAGACCTCTGTGGATCCTCTTGGCCCTCGGTGGGGTCACCCAGAGACCCTAGCGGGCAGCGCATCCAACAGCGCATCCCCTGTCACTCCCCACGTCACCCTGAGGCCCTCGTGGACCCTCATGGCCCTCCAMGGGTCACCCCGAGCCCCTCGTAGACAGCGAACCTCCTGGTGCTTCCTGGGTCATGCCAGGACCTTGGTGAATCCTCGTGGCCATCGCCGGGGTCACCCCGAGACCCTTGTGGACAGAGCCTCCCCCAGGCCACCTTGAGACACTCGTGGACCCTCATGGCCTTCCGCGAGGTCACCCCGAGCCCCACGCGGACAGCGCATCCGACAGCGCATCCCCCGGCGCGCCCCTCGTCACCCCGAGCCCCTCGTGGCCCTCCGCGGGGTCCTCCCGAGCCCTTCGTGGACACCGCATCTCCCGGCGCACCGCGGACATCCCGGACCCGGGCGGAAGCGCGCCCGCGCCTTCTCCGAGCGCCCCCGAGTGCCCTGCGCCCCGCCACCCCTTCCCGCGCCCCAGGCCCGGCGGAAGCCCCCTCGCGGGCCTGCGCCCCGCCCCGCCCGGCCCCAGCCTAACCTGGCCCCCAGCGGCCCGCGGCAGGCCCGCGCAGCGCTGGCGTCTCCTCGGCCCSGGCCGCACGCGCACCATCCGGGCCTCCAGCGCCTCACACACGTGTCACAGGGACGCTTAAAGGAGTCGCACTTTGCGGCCGCTCTTGGCCGGCACCGAGAGGCCCGGGCTGCTTTAAGAGGCGGGGCTATCTTGGGCCCTCTCCCTGGATCCGCCCACCGCCGCTTGACGCGCCGTCAGCGTCGCCTCCCGGTCCGGAGGTCCCGCCAGCCTACGCAGTGACGCAAGSGCGCAGAGCCGAGACGCCCCGCCCCGGGCCGTGGCGCGGGCGGTTTCCGCCGAGCTCTCGCGGCACCKCCACTTCCGGGTCCACGGCGTGCCTGTGGGCCGGCGGGTGCCGCTAGCCGGGGCGCAGAGCGGGGGCTCCCTGGGCCGGCCAGCGGAGGAGGGCGCCGAGCCTCTCACGCGCGGGAGGGGCTCCTGCCTGTCWCCTGGCCGACTCGGGCTTTGTGCCGTTGGAAAGGAAGGCCAGCTCCCCCGCGAGGAGCCCAGTACCGGGGAGCTGGCTCCTGGGGTGAGGGATCAGTTTTGTTTTCAGCTTTTGAAGTCTCTGGATACCTGAGCACGATCCTGCAACTCCAGCGGTCACCTGCACGACTGTACGTGAAGGCCTCGGCCGAGGAGTTACAAACAGGGATCGCCTTTGCARTATTTCTAAAACTTCCCCAACCCTGGACTTGATTGGCTTTCCTGTCCCCCTTCTCCGAGGCAGATGGAGAGAGTGGCCCCTGGCCCGACTTCAGGAGCTACCAGAGCAGCACAGGCATAAACTATTTTTTCCAAAAGGTAGAACTTGCGTACATGATCCCTATGTTCCTTGACTGATAAGTGAGAGTGATGAGCCAGGTGAGACCACAAGCGCATCGCCCAGAGCTAATCTCCAGTCCCTCCACACACCTGTAAGCCAGGACTGAAGAGGGAGAGRGGGAATAGATGTGATTGAACAAAATTCGCCTCACGTCTATTACTTGGATGCTAGTGTTCTTTGGAAAAGCCAACAAGCAAAAACAAAACTGCAGTAGTTTGAGATTAAAATTGTGTCCTCTGTGTAGGAATTCTTTCTTTGCCCTGTGTGGTGGGTCACCCTCGTAATCCCAGCAACTCAGGAGGCTGAGGCAGGAGGACTGCAAGTTCTAGGCCAGCTTCAGCAATTTAGTGAGACCCTGTTTAAAAAATTAAAAAAAAAAAAAAAAGGTCTGGAGAGCCATCTCAGTGGTAAAGCACCCCTGGGTTCAGTCCCCACTACCCAAAGGAACAAACAAACCCCATTCTGCTAAAAGTTTTAATTTGAGATCTTACTCTTTGCTTCTTGACCACTCTCCTGTCCCTGACCAGAGTGGRCTCTATTCAAGGACTCAGAGACAACTCTCCCTCTTCAAGTCCTGATACATTGTATAAAACGGGAGATTCCCTGTGTGTGTTCTGAGCTAGGAAGCCGGCAACTGGTGGGGAAATGGGGAGGCCTGGGTTTTATTCAGGCTAACTGTTGCTTTGCATACTTTTTTTTTTTTAACCCAGCCCAGCCTCTTTATTTCTAGGTAGATAGGCAGCATGACTTCTGCACCCCACCTCAAATCTACCTTCACACCCTTCTCTGATGTTGACCCAAACCCCACTTCTTTTGCAGGCTCCAACATGGATTTGTCTAACGTTTTATTTGGCTATTTTCATTAGAATGCTCCTCTTGATTGTCACAGAATGAAAATCWYCATATCATTTTGTTTCTGAATGTCTTGTTTTCAACAGCCAATTTGTTTCTTGGAGGAGAAAAGTTGCTAAGAGACCAAAATAATTCCCCTATATCAAAGCTCTGCCTCTCACTGTAAAAGACTCAAGGCACAGTGAGGCGAGTGAGGGGTCCTCTCACAGCCGGACCCCAAGGCCACAGGCAGACCACCCATCCAAGAACTTCAGTGTTAAGGCAAAGTCTGTGGTCACAGCAAATCACCTGTGATAAAAACAGACACTTTTTTATTAAAGTTAAGTAAGGTAAAAATGTCCACTGGTAGGGTACTTTAAAGATATTTTTAGGGCATTTAAAGGACTGCAATCTTTCCCATCCTATAATCCTACTAATGGACAGAAATAGGTGCTCTCCTAGGGTGTGCAGTAACCAGACTCAAGACTCTTCCACCAGCCATCCTGGTGGCCCCTGACCCCCACCAGCCCCTTGGCTCTCTAGCCTGGATCTTGTATTTGCAGTTAGGACCT